AAGGCTTTCTCTTTTGCCGGTTATACCACAAGGTGAGTTCCTTTTTATTTCCTGCTTCTTCACACACATGCTCTGTGCAGTACAGGTTAGCTCTGAGTGTTAGCGATGCCCATGTAAACACCGACCATATTACGTCCAAAACAGTCGTGCATTGTTTCTGATAGCAACGTTTCTGATGGGGCCGTGGGTGTAAAGCCAGCCTACATTTCCGATATGACGTCATATCGGACGCAAATCTGGATCAGCTCCGTTGTAGCCCCGTTTTTAGAGATTTGGGTACGGAGGAAAAGAGAGAAGTTCTCTCTTTTCCTCCGTACCCAAATCTCTAAAAACGGGGCTACAACGGAGCTGATCCAGATTTGCGTCCGATATGACGTCATATCGGAAATGTAGGCTNTCCCATATTAAATGTTAGGACATTAGAACTTCCAGTATTGGTGCTAAGGGCAAATTATTTTTGACCGGACATTTTGACCGGAGAGATTTAGATTTGGCGGTCTTCAGCATATTTTACCGGTCAAAGTCCGGTAATTACCGGCTAACGGAAACTCTGGATGGCACATCTCTTTATTTTACCTTGTGCTACAACCCATGAATGCTATTGTAACACAGGAACAGGAAGGATGTTAGGGAGGTTTAGGGGAGCTGAAGGCACCTGTCGGGGAGGCAGCTTGCTAGTTTAAAGAAGGATCTGTTACAGCCCAGCTAGCAGCACAAAAACAGGTCACCTGAGCCCTGCTTCTCCTCCCAGCTGGGATACCACATGACTGGTTTGGGCCCCAGAGCCAGGCCGTTTGTTACTGGGTTGCTCAGGGTCTGGGTACCACACAAGTGAGCTCACTGGAGACCAGGCCACAGCCCCACAGCTTAACCCCATATGATGTGTGTGTAGATCAGTTAGAGCATTTAGAGGCCTTGTTCCAGGAGGACCACTATCCCGACGCAGAGAAGAGGAAAGTCATCGCCGCCTCAGTTGGTGTCACGCCTCAAAGAATTATGGTTAGAAGTTTTCCGACTCTTTTACATTTCTTATTTGGTGATTTACCTCCTCTAAGAGAGAATCAGGAATTAAGTTAGGTGCACCTCTTTTGGTTGAAACCTAAGTTCTTGTTGTCAATCAACAAAAAAAACGGGGGCAATTATCCCTTTTATTTAAATGACTTCTCCAATAATTGAGGATTCAGGGAAAAGTTTTCCTTCCTGTCTCAAAAGCGACTGCCTTCTTTCACCTCCCATCTTTCATTGTCTCGTCATCATCCTCAGTCCTTTTTACTGATCAATGTTATTGTCTTGTCTGCATGACGCTGTGAACCAGGTCTGGTTTCAGAACCGCAGGGCTAAGTGGAGGAAAGTGGAGCGCTCCATCACAGCGAGGGGTGAACACAGACAGAGCCGAGCTGGCAGCAGCAGCAGCCCCCTGCATCACCCAATCAATCCCAGCCTGGCACCCAACAGGTACTACACTATATCGCTCTGTGTTGGTCGTTTTTCTTGTTCTCAAATGGTCCAAGCTACTTTTGATTAGTCGTTATTTTATATATGATTGATTGTAACTTATGTTTATTCTCTTTTCAGTCAGGAAGTTCCCTGTTTTTCGAATCAGTTTGCCACAAAGCTGCCCCAGCTCGCCCCTGCAGCGCCTTCTTTCTCCGTCATCTCCAACCAGACTCCGCCCTCCTACAGCAACCTGATGGCCAGCCTCAACAGCCCAGGTGCTGTAACCCTCATTCACAATGAATCAAAAGCACCGCTCATGATTAGGTCCCAGTGCTCCACAAATACTACTTAAGAGAAGAGGCCCCACTGTGCTTTTTGTGTTTTCCCTTTTCCTGTAGTGTGTTATATATGTTTTTGTGCATGTAAATGGTCTGCAAAGGCTAAAATCCCAAAGTTCACACCAGAGGGAGTTTCTCTCCCACCTAAAACAACAAACTACTATACTAACATGTAAACATAGAATGCTACATACATTATACATGTGTGCAAGCTGCTGCAGTTCTTGAGTGACATTTTAAATGCAATGAGGTAGAGATCAACATTACATAAAGTACAGAACAAAAGCCTCAGAGTTCTTGGAGTGGGCAGACCTCAGGCAAGGTCAAATGCCCATTCTCCAAAAAAAGAGTACATATTGGATATTCAGAACACTAATATAGCAGCTAACAACTATTTGCCATGTTAACATATTGTGGCGTAATGTTGCTCTGAGTAGACACACAGAGGTAACAATTCAATCCAACATCAAGGAACTAGTGGGGACGGAGCCAGCTGTTTCCTACGTCTTGGCCCAAAAGCCGACTTGAACACCCATAACAAACTAACCAGTGGAACACTAGCACTTACAATCCACTACATTTAAACTCGGTGAGGCTTCCCCCTGCATGTGGAGATAGTACAATTCCCCAGAAAGCAAACTACAATGTCTCTTTAATCTCAGTATTTAATCTCTCTGTTTCATCTCCAAGGTCAATCCAGAGGGAGAGATGTGGGCCAGCACCAGCTTTCATCTCAGGGGGAGTTAGCAGAGTATCACCCCCGTCCCATTCACAGCCCCCCCCCTCTGCGGAGAGCCAGTCTACCCCTTTTCACAACGACCTACAACGCTGCCAACCCAGCTCCACCTCTCCTTAACACCCTGGCTCACAACCAACCTCTGTTCCTCGATGCTCTGGAGAGCGGCTCCTCCCAGGCTCTGCAGACTGACACCAGGTCAGCTCGGTTCGCAGCAGACTGTGACATGAATACTAGACGATGATTTGAACAGGGATGAGTAGTACAGAGGACAGGCTGCAGACAGGAGCAGGGATCCTGTGAATTACTGATATATAATGATGCTGCAGACAGCGCCTGTAGAGGGGAGTCAATTTCAGCTTGCTCTCTGAAATATTTGAGAAATCCTGCTGGGAGAAATAACAGTTAGGAATTGCTCTGTAGAAAATTACATGTCTTTGACTACTTCTATTTATCACAGCTCTTAAATAAATCCCCTAATGCTAGGCAATATAAAACGAAATAATAGCAATGAATTTTAATACCTGTTTAGCTCCCTGAGCACCAGATTGACTTACTCTTCTCCAAATGGCTGGTTGTTTTCTGCCTTATTTGCCATATACTCTTATTTGTTTTGGGAGTACAGATTAAGTGTTTTTTTTATGATACCTGTGTTTTTAAAACAGTGGTAGCCTACCCTTATTTCCCCCTGTAGTGTCGCTGGATGCCTTTTCATTCTCTGTAGCTCAGCGGGCGGTGGTGGGCTGTGACGGCAGGTTCCATTCAAACTGAATTGCAGATTATCGCTGTCTCTGCTTTTGAGTCCTTACGTGTGAACCATAAGACATATTCTCCTGTTGTGGTTAAAAGGGTCCTGTCATGACAGCTAGCTGATTTGAGTGACAAAATAATCATGACATTTGCAAAGGTTCCCAAAGTATTTTATTGGGCCCTTTCTACACTTTGGGTGAGATCGATATAAAGACATATGGAAGTATCTGAGCATAATATATATAACGTCCCTGCTACACATCGTATATATTTGAAGAAGTTGTTTTGACTAAATCCTTCTTTGTTTTGTCCGCAGTTCTCTATTTGACTTTGGGGATAAACTGGACTACCTGACCTCAGGCCAGCAGAACAACCCAATCTCCTACCAGCTCCAGACCTCTTACCCTTCCACTCAGCCCCAGCACCAACCTCAGGCATCTCTGTCCCGCATGGCCTACCTCACCCCCTCCCCCTACCTTACCCAAAACCCTCCAGATTCCAACCCTACCTCCTACCTGACCTTCGGCCCCGGGGGAAACTCCACTGGGATTGTGACCTACTCCACTGGAGGCCAAGCTTACTACCAGTCCCAGAGCGCAGGACAAATCCTAATGCAGTCGGCCGGTCATCCTGGTGAGTCAATAAAATGAGATTTTATTAGACTTCCTCATGGAAAAACAAAAACACACCAATCGAAGGGGTTTAAGCACACTGTTTTTCAAAGAAATAGATATTTACTTTTAGAAGATTGTTTTGCAGGTGTGTTGGTTGGTTTGTTTGCCTATCAACAGGATTAAAGAAAAAATACTGTCCAGATTTCCTTGAAACTTGGCAGAAAGATGTATCATGGGCCAAAAGAGTGGAAGACTGTAATCCCTATCCAAGCCTCGAGGGCCCAGAATGCGAGTCACCAAACATTTTCTGTCCAGAAAAAGAACAACATCCTTTAATTCCCCAAAAGTAGCCCACTCTGCTGCAGTTGGTTCTTGAGCAAGAACTAGACCATTAACAGATGTGCTTAGAGGTGTATTAGTTTGCCAGTTTTACTTTGTACTGATAGTGACAATCAGCTCCTGCTGAATGTGTGCTCCCTGCTGTCTTCTCAGGCCAGCCCTGTCTCCCCAGACAGCTCTCCAGTGCCCCCTTGTGTCAAGATTGAGTATGACAGCCCTCGAGAGATTCACAGCCACTTCCATTGCGACTTCTCCCTCAATAATTTTTGAAGAAATGTTTGTTTGTGTGAGAGTGTGTGCTTTAAGTGTTAATATGTCCTGTTTAAATGTAAGTAGTTCTCTGTTTTCCATTTGTATTACTATTAGGATGTTCTCGATATTACTGCAAGCTGGTTCGGTTGGGCCTTTAGCTGCAATAAATGCTCATTGTTCTGTTAATCCTTATTTATGCATTTGACCAGCATTGCTGTGGTTTCAATCAGCAGTCTCCGACATGTTATGGCTCAGAGGAAAGTTTTTATTGAGAAAATGTGGTTGCAGACCGGAGAGGGGCGTGGGAGGCGGGTTAATTGCAAAGCGTAATTGTTCCCCACATCCCCATCAGTATGTGCATGCATATTCACATTTTGACTTAGTGTTTCAAACACACAAATAGGCCTTAATGCGAAGTTTAAAAAATGATAGACAAAGGTTAAAGAGTGGACTGTGTAAACATTTTAATAGAAGCTCGCAACACCTTTTTGTTGTTGTTATCTTCCTAGTTTCAATTTGAAAACATTATTGTTAGATTTGTCAATAACTACAACTTACTCCATAACAGACTTGTGTATAAGCAGATAATTCATAGCTATATAATAAATTGGATATATCTTCATTCGAAAAAGTTATAATTGTTGACAAATATTGTAGATTAAAATGTTGTTATGACCACCCTACAAATTGAACTGAATTTTTTCAGCGTGGATAATTTACAACAATGTACAAATACATCTCTCAGGAACACTCAGGTTATGACCCACTGAAACATGGTGCTGATGATGGAATTACTGCACAGACTGATAATAGATAGATACTTCAGTGATCCCCACGGAAATGCATGTAGAAACTATAATAACCTCCAATGTCATATAATGATTTTCCAGCTATGTTTGCAGAACCATAGGTTAAATTCTGTCCTGATAACAGGCCTCAGTGAGTCATCCTAATGGGATCTGCTGGTGATGTAAATGGCCTCAGGTCTGTCTTTAGGCCACAAGAGGACACTGTTCCTTCATGTGAGACGACCACATGCTGGGTTTATCTGACAGAATGTTGGGTTCTCAGACACCCCTCTGTCGTGGGATGTGAGATGGTCGATAATCCCATGGAGGGGAAACGGGACAGAGCTGTTTCCAGGGTAGAGGTATCCTAGACAATCACTTATACTGCCCAAATCCTTAATCCATGTTGCCATCTGCTGTGTTCACACACCAACTGCACTCTCTGTTTATCCTTAGTATGCAAGCTAGGTGAAGGGCTTGCGGAAACCAAATCTCTGAATGAAACTCTACCTCCGAAAGACCTAAAGGCATTTTTTGAGACTGGATAAAAGACATCTGGGAACAATTGTCGTTTTTTTGCTCTAAGTATTGAAAGTAAAGCAACAAAAGTTTCTTGTTTTAACTGTAGTTAATATTCCTGGTCCGTAGTCGTGCTGCATGTAAAGTAAAGTTTGAAGTGAAGCTTGGATGATGATGTGGGAGTAAGAGAAGGAACTGTTTGATGAGAGCGAGGAGGAGGTGGCAGGGACCAGGGGAGCAGATAAAGGAGGGGGGAGACGGAGGAGTGAGGCAGTGTGTTGGTCGGGAAACAAGGGAGGAGAGCAGAGATGAGCTGTTGCTATGGGAGGAGAAGAGGATGATGGGTGGGCTCTGCCAGCAGGCGTGGGCGGGAGAAGAAGATGGGATGAGGGAGAAGTGTGTTTGGAGCACAGGGGGTTCTGGGATGAACAGAACTCTTGGTTATGTAACTGCAGTGTTTGGGTTTTTAATGAACCTTCCTGCTCACTGGCTACTGAACTGTTACTGTTGGCAGGAGCAGCGCAGCATAAACACACACACATACAAACTTCATTTCTCAAAGTCTCCTGCCTAAAGAGACACACACAACACATTCATTTCAGGAATGAAAACCCTGTGAGTGAGAGATTTATCCAAACTCAGTGAAGCGGAGTCTCTACTCTGGACTTTAGTTTTAATTTGTGTAAAGGTCTGTATGTGTGTCTCGTGTCACTTCGCACAGTTTCAGCTTTCTTCCCATTCACATGTCAGGGAGCTTGCATGTGTTACTGAGGAGGGTTTCATGTAGGTTTAACTTTGTAATTAATTTTTCCACAACTTCCCTGGTGTGAACAGAGAGTGCTCAGAGCACAACTGGAGGGCACGTGTGTGTGTGTGTAAGCATATATACATGTGTGTGTGTATATGTGAACACAGGTATGGGATGCTTCAGTTCAGCCGAATCCGCCATGTCAATATTTACTCAGTATTCTGAGATTTGAAGAAAGGGAACTTGTTTCAATATTTATGGATGTGGTCTAACAAGAAATCCTCGCACTCTTTCCAAACCTTCTCACTCCACTCAAAAACGCACACACACACACACACGCACGCACGTACACACACACACACACACACACACACACACACACACACACACACACACACACCCTAAAAGGGTAAAATGCAGCCAATAGTGGAGTTTATTGATATAACTGATTGAAAGTAATGGGCTAATTTTGGTTGTGAAACAAAGCTGAAACGTGGCTTGGAGATCCTCCAGTGCTTTGCTGCTCTGGTCCAGGGTGTTGATTTTGAGTTTGTTTTGACAAAGATACAACAAATAGACTTGTGTTGGGTTCGGAGGAACAGATGACACGAGGGAGAACCGCTGGGGAAAACAACTTACTGGATAAAATGAATAGCTTAGTCTGTTCAAACGCTGTGTAAACAAGAAGACAAACAGTGGCAGGCCCATATTTGACTGAGATATAATATCTCACTTCACCATGTTGATAGTAAATATATTTGAGGAGAGCTGTGTACTTGTATAAAAATGCTAATGACATGCAGTGTGGCAGGGATGAAGAAAAGTGTTTTAGACTTGTTTTCATTTACTCAAAGGGTCTGGCAGGACTATTGTGATGAATATCCTCTAAATGTAGCCCGTTGCAGTGGTCTGGCTGTTGGCAGAGAATAAGGAATTGCAGGAACATTCACTTTTTTAGTAAAAAAGCAAATATGCTCTGTCTTTATATTAGATTTCTGTTTTGCTACTGGGGAAGGAAATGGTGAAGGACAAATTGGGAAAGGGGAAAATAACTTTTGGGCTGATAGTAAATGTGCTCAACTCATTTGTGTAGGTTATCCAATTTGGATTGTGCTAAAAATAGAAAATCCTTTTGATTTGACTTTTTTTATTAATGATTAATATGACCATCATTTCCTCGAATCATTGATTGATTCATCGATTACTCAATCGATCGTTCTATAAAACGTCAGAAATGTCTTTGAAATTAAGTTTTTTAACAGAATTCAAACCCAAAGGCATATATATATATATATATATATAGATTATATATATCTATAGTTGTATAGACGACTGAATATACCAGTAAAACACACTTGAGAAACGGCAAACAGCACATTTTGGGTTTGGCTAAAGAAAATACTTCTAGACTATTTATCAACATTGATGATGATTCATTTTCTGATTATTGATCATTTCAGAACATTTAGTTATAATAATGCCAACATTCAGTAATCCAAGCGAATCTTATGTTTTACAATAACGCTAATTATTTTGTGGGGTTTTGACTGTTGGTCGAACGAAACAAGACATTTTAAGTATTTTTACAAAGTGAACAATTAATTAGAATATTAAAAATAAAATATAACCAAAAAGTGTTATTGGAACTGAACATCTAGTATTGTTATAGTGTCTGTCACACACAGTTGTTATTTTTATCAGTTTAAACCGATTTGAGGCTTTTATTCTCCACAGTTCACCTCTATTACCAAGCAACTCTAAACATGTGTAAACACCAGATGAGAAATTAGTTTCTTGGTTCTGAGAAATGGTTCACAAATACTGATGGATGCAGGTAAACCTCATCCAGCTCACTAATGTTCAGCCTGCCAAGCAGACTGAGGTAAGATAACCGGTACCGGTACGTGTGTGTGTGTGTGTGTGTGTGTGTGTGTGTGTGTGTGTGTGTGTGTGTGTGTGTGTGTGTGTGTATGTGTGTGTGCCTGTACTAATTATGTTTGTGTGTTGACCGATATGTTTACGATTGTGACTGTGTCTTCTCTTATAAGCCCTTAAGACACGCTGTCCAGGAATAACATCTCAAATCTTTCATCTCGGGCCAATCGCCAATTAAATAAACACACACACACACACACACACACACACACACACACACACACACACACACACACACACACACACACACACACACACACTGTTGATTTTACAGCTTGTTCAGTAGGAAATCAGTCTGGCCAGTTACTGTACAGCCTGAGCCCTAATTCCTCTTCCCCTCCCAGACTTACCCCCTGAATTGCGGCTTGTTCAGGTCGTGTGTGTGGGTGGAGGTGTGTGTGTGTGTGGAGGAGGAGGAGGAAGGGGTGGTGCGGAGGAATGCAGGGTTGGGTCGGGTGGAGCGGGATGTCGGAGGGAAAAGAGGGGTCTCTGTTTAGTGTGTAGAGAGATTAAAGATGTGTATGTGAGTATTGATGAAAGTGTGTTTACTCCGCTGAGGCCGGCCGCCTACCTGACAGTGGAGAGGAGAGTAATGGGGAAATAGAAGCGAGGAAGAGTCGGGGGACAGATTTTTTTTAATGGTTGCAATAAGGAAATCTTAACCTTCTATCCTTCTCTGCTCTGTAGTCAAAGTTTAAAAAAATCACAAATATAGAAAGGGTGGGAGAAACAAGTAGAAAAGTAGAAACAAGTGATAGAAAAACACAAAACTGTACATTTGATTCAGAAGCTGAACTTAAGAATCCAGGAATTGACTTGTATACTTCAACTTATACAGAAATGCATGCTTATGCAAAAATGCACGCACACCTCCCAACATGCATAGCAGCGGGAACACTGAGGCCTGTGTACGGTGGCTCTCCTTCACTTCCGCACCATAAATGTGTGTTTGCTATAAGAGGGAACACGGGGAGAAAAGAGGAATTCATGTGGCTGTTTATTTGAGCTTTTGGCCAAATCCAACCTGGGGCGGTTGCGTTGGCGCGCACCAAACCCCAGGCGCTCCTGTACCCCCCGCCACACACACATACTGTACACGCTCAGGTACTAAAGCACACACACAACACACATTTTACTACTCACTGACACACACACATACCTGTCCATCCTAGCCATATCAAGGTGTGTTTGTCTTTCCTTGCCCACCATTTTAGGTCCTCCCAGAGCAGGTATTTCCCTCTCCTACACACACACACACACACACACACACACACACACACACACACACACACACACACACACACACACACACACACACACACATTTACACACATATACAGCAGCTATAGAGGTAGGGGGGTGTCTGTGTGCTGAGTGTGTGAAGCACTTGCATTGATAACCTGCAGCTCAGAGTCACTCAGACTCACTTTGTGGCCGTCCCTCTCGCCTGGAACTCCTTTCGTCTTGCTCTGTCTCCTTTCTGGCTCTCCACTCTAGGACTGTCTGCGGACACGCTCAGACCCCCGCGTTTAATCGTCACCCCTCTGTCGCCATGACGCCTACCCCGCTGTTTTTCCTGCTGCTGCTCGGCCTCATGGGGGCTCGGGCCACTGTAGACCTCCGCACGGCCGCCGCAATGGGTAAGAAAGATGACCTTTAACCCTTAAAGTTGATTCTGACTCCAGCTGAAGACTCTCTGATGGTTTGATAACTGACATTAACACATCAGTAGTTATCTTAGCAAAAAAGTAATCTGAGGACAGTAAACCTCAAAATAGACACAACATGATTAAGCTAAGTATACTTATATTTCTAGTGATGTAACAGCGTTTCTGATGAATATCCCTCTGGTCTGATTCAAGTCTTTTCCAAATAAGTGGGTATGATGTGTTTGAGCTAGTTGTTGTAGATTTGCAAAAGTTCCTAAGTAAGTAAACAGAATTAATGGAGAAGAATTAAAAAAGTTATATTGACTTTGAAATTAGTCTGGATAATTAAAAAATAATGTTCTCCAACAATTAATTGATTTCTGTATTTGAAGTCTCTTTGGGTATTTATGATTTGAAATTATTAAAGAGGGCAGTGTTTTTGGTATCGTTGCCGGTGGTTGGATGGTATACGTGCACAGTTTGAATGAATTGGCAGTTGGAGCACTGTGTGTGTGTGTGTGTGTGTGTGTGTGTGTTTGTGTGTGGGGGGGGCTATGATGTAGAAATTTGTAGGAGGAAAAACCGAAGGGAGGGAGAGAGGTGAAGGGTGAGAAGGGAGATCAGTGATGTTAAACAGACACTGGAAGTTTTAATGATTCATTTAACAGGGCCTCAAATGCTTGGACTGTCTTAAAATCACATCCTCTCTGAGTCAAAGTGTTTTATTACCAGAGTGTCTTTGACACACATCAGATTGCTCCATCTGATGTTTGTAGCTGAACAGTCATGCGTTTTTTACATATAGTTTAAAAATCTCTTTCTTAAGATCAACTTTTTCTTAGATTTTCTTTCTAAGCTTTCGGGGTAAATGTTATTGTATTTTGTTCCGTTTTCTTAAGATGTATTGATATTATTGTAATTCTTAATATACACAGTATAAATCAGGCGACTTCTAATGTGTCTTTCTTTGGCCTGCATCCTTGTTTAATGCCAAGCATTTCTCCATCTCTCCCTCCACCCTCGCCTCTCTCCACCCCTGCTGCCTCCCTGCATTGTGTTTTTCGGACTCCTCCCGCTTTCTCACCAGCCCCCATAAGTCCCCCCTCCCTTCTCCCCTCAATACATCCGTTCTTTCCATGCTCCTCCCACTCTCCCCCCTTTTTCCCCTTCTTCATTAACTTGTTTTTTTGATAATTTTGTGGACTTATAGTTGAAAAATGAGAAAATATGCATATTAATCTCCCTTCTGTCCTCCTTTTCTCATGTAGCGGCAGGTTTGTGCAAAACTCGGCCCACAGACATTGTGTTCATCGTCGACAGCAGTCGGAGCGTTCGCCCTTCAGAGTTTGAGCAGGTCAAGGTCTTCCTGGCTAAGGTCATCGAGGGTCTTGATGTTGGACCCAACGCCACCCGTGTGGGAGTTGTCAACTACGCCAGCCGCGTCAAGAGCGAGGTTTGGGGTTCTGCTAGCCTTCACTATCACCCAGCAACGTTTATATATATTTGTCATGTGATTTTATAACACTGACTTTCCTATTATGCAACTGCAGGTGTCTCTGAAGACGCATCGCACCAAAGCCGGTCTGATTAAAGCTGTGACGAAGATCGAGCCCCTTTCCACCGGAACAATGACCGGTTTGGCCATCCAGTTTGCCCTGAACGTGGCCTTCAGCGAGAGCGAGGGCGCTCGCGTCAAATCTCCCGATATCAGCAAGGTCATACACACATTTACATGCATTCACACATGCAATTCAACATATTCCATCATTATTATTACCTCTTTAAATACATTTTTTATATAATTGCGCTACTTTACCTTCCCAGGTGGCCATTATCGTGACAGACGGGCGCCCCCAGGACAACGTGAAGGAAGTGGCTCTGCGTGCACGGGATGCCGGTATTGAGATCTTCGCCATTGGTGTGGGACGTGTGGACATGAACACCCTGAAGCAGATGGCCAGTGACCCTCTGGACGACCACGTGGACTACGTCGAGAGCTACAGCGTCATCGAGAAGCTCACCAAGAAGTTCCAGGAAGCCTTCTGTGGTAAGATGAGATGGAGGGAAGAGGAAGATGGAAAGATAAGAGTTTCATTGTATAAAATTTGAGGAACAGATGTAGAAAATTGGTGCTGATTCATGGAAATAGACAAAGATGGTTAAAAATAATGACAGGGTGAGTCATCATCATTATCCTTCATCACAGTGGAAAGAGCTGCCCCCCTATTCTAAGGGTAAGGTGTCAGGACTGTCATCTTTCATTCCTTTATGTTGTTCCCTCACTTTTGTCCTCAAAAAGACTACAGTAGACTCACTCAAGCGTATAAACTGATTGAATACTCCCATTGCAGGAGGGCACTAGGGAAGGAACAACCTAAAGGAACGAAATCAGTCCTGTTCTTCAGTCAAATCTCACATAGCCGAGAGGCAACGCTGATCTCTCTTTAATTACCGATACATTAGTGACAGTCATTAAACCTCTTATTAGTAATGCCCTTTGGCGGTCTGCTGCAGTTTTTGCTGCTGCCTGCCAACCAATCACGCTGCAGATGTTTCATCTAAGGGCGGAATTGCATGATCACAGTGTTGGATTGTTATTGGACGAGCCTGCACCATAATAGAGAAACAGATCTTGATTAATTGAGGCTACTCCAATCTATTCCACCTGTTAGTTTTAAGGGTCCACTGGATACACGTGTCATTCACGCTCATTCAAAATTGTTGGCTGCAAGTGACAGTGGATCATTAAAACCCAATGCTAGATATTCCCGTTTTCAAACTGACATAGTTTCATTCTCTCCTCCTAACTCCAACCACACCCCCACCCCACCCCCCTCCCTTTGTGTGTGTGTGTGTGTGCGCGTGCGCCTGGACATATAACCTCCTGGGTGTATGTGTGTTCTGCACGCACACACACACAGTGTCGGACCTTTGTGCCACCGGGGATCATGACTGTGAGCAGGTATGCATCAGCTCCCCCGGATCATTCAAGTGTGCCTGCAAAGCTGGCTTTACCCTCATGGACAATGGTCGCAGCTGCAGTGGTGAGTGGTTGTGTGTGAGTGTGTGAGTGTGTGTGAGAAGGTTTTTATCCAATGGCGGTCCCTGTGCTCCCAGACTAACATGCCCTGTTGTGTGTCCGTCATCACCAGCTTGCAGCAATGCAGCGACAGACGTAGTGTTCCTGATCGACGGCTCTAAGAGCGTGCGTCCTGAGAACTTCGAACTGGTCAAGAAGTGGATCAACCAGATTGTCGACAAACTGGATGTTTCTGAGGCCAAGGCTCACGTTGGACTGGTTCAGTACTCCAGCTCCGTCAGACAGGCATGTGTCTGCATTTACTATTTTCACCTCACCTCAAAATCTGCCTCCTTCTCTTCTGTGTCAACGTCATGTTTTCTCTTTCCTCCCGCAGGAGTTCCCTCTGGGTCGCTTCAACAACAAGAAAGACCTGAAGGACGCTGTGAAGAAGATGGCCTACATGGAGAGGGGAACCATGACAGGCCAGGCCCTCCGTTATCTGACAGAGAACAGCTTCAGCGCCGGAGGGGGCGCCCGGCCCGGAGTCGCCAAGGTGGGCATCGTCTTCACTGACGGACGCAGCCAGGACTATATTGGAGATGCCGCCAAGAAGGCCAAGGATCAGGGTGAGGAGGAGAGGATGGTTTAATGCCCAATGTATGATTGTAATACAAGACGTTCCAATCTGATGCCTACTTTTATCAAATGAGTTTTCAGCAACTTAAATATGGAGATTTCCTGCAATTCCATTTATAATATATATTAAAATGTAATAAATAATTGGGTTTTAGACTTAAAAACAAAATTGGAATGGACATTTTCTCACTATTAATCAATGAATCTAGAACATAGTCCTCAGTTAATAATATAAATAACTCTTAGATGCAGCTCTAGTCAGGTGAGGAAAACCTATATGTGGTTATGTTTCAGGTTACAAGATGTACGCTGTTGGAGTGGGCAACGCAGTGGAGGATGAGCTGAAAGAGATTGCCTCTGAGCCGACTGGAGAGCACTACTTCTACACTGCCGACTTCAAGGCCATGACCCAGATCGCCAAGAAGCTGCAGATTAACATCTGTCAAGGTCACATATTATGATTAGATACAAAAATAAACATACTTGTGTTATTACAGGTAATTTCACTATAAGTACTTCGACATTAGCTCATAACTTTTGCTTTCTTTCCTACAGAGGAGGACCCTTGTGAATGCGACTCCCTTGTAAAGTTCCAAAAGAAAGTAGAAGACGCCCTGCAGGCACTAACAAAAAAATATATCCTTTACAACAGCTGAAATGGTGTAAGAATAGTTTGGCATTTCAATGTATCATATTTTTCTGTCTGTTTTTTCTTCATTGTTGGCGTCCTTGACAAATTATTACTAGACAGCATGTCAAAGAGGATTGCCTTGCTGGAGAACAAAATCGTCTGAGGACCCACATCCCACTCTGCACACTCTGCACACACACCCACATACACACAAACACACAAACAAACACACCATTTTTACTTCCTGTAAAATACTGAAGAAGATCCCATGTGTGTGAACCCTGACCTCTGCTTGTATCCGAGCTCTCCCACACCATCTCTGCGCCCTCCTCTCTCGATCTTACCTCTTCCACCTTTGGGTCTCCTGGGAAACAAAGCGCCGGTTGCCATGGAGACCACGCCTTTTTGTGTGTTCAGAAGGCCATCGTCCATAGCCAGCCTGTGTGTTTGTTAATAAAAGACTTCCCTCATAGGGAAACGGTGACGGTACACTGAAGGGTTTTCTTTGTGGCTGCCAATAATGAATTTCCCCAAAACCCAAAGTCTGTGTCTCATCCTCTGCACTTGTTTGTCTCTTTCCCTGTCTCTCCTCTCAAATCTGAAGGCTTCCACTTTCTTCTCCCCCTCATCTACTATTATATATGGTGTACATATATACATATAAACAGGTAAATTAATATAAGATATATGTCTGAAAATAAGGGTACACCATTGATGTTTTTTTTATTTTCCTAAATAAAGGTGATTCAGGAAGTAATATGATAAATTGTGAAAATATTGTATGCACACATGGACAAAAAGCAATTCCTACTTTTACACTGTTTTATTTTATTTATGAATATGTGCACACAGAAAAGTTATATGGTCCAACATATGGGCTCTGAGGACCACAAGGGCCTGACAGGTGTTCACAGTAAATGGTAAACAATTTTTATTTATTGTCAACAGCAACCTTTACACTTACAACAACTAAATTGTTGTTCTGCGTAAATTCTACATTGAAGTATTATAATTATCCTGCATTTATCAGGACCAAATCAAAGTAGGATCCATACTCTACTTTGGATTTGTCGGGTTTGTGGTCAACAAAAGGTTTCCTCCTGCTTTGAAGCTTTGGTACTAAGGAAGTGCTTCAATAAAAGTAATTCATTGTTTTGCTGACACAAAAATAATTCAGATAGCCCTTGCTGAATACAAATGTTCTGCATTCTGCTGTATAGAAGAGAGAGCAAGTTTAAGACATGTCTCTGGTATTATGCCCAATTTTAATGCAGTAGGGTTTGGAAATGTTTTCAACTAAATAATTGGTTTGAATAAAAGATGAATGGGCAGGAGAGTGGGGTAAGTTGAGCCATTTTTTAGTTATGCTGTCCTCTAAACAAGGAGAAAAGACACATAGTAAAAATGAAAACACACACCTATAATTCAGGATGTCTCCTATCAATGGCAATGATAATAATTAATATTTGATCAAGGGCAGTGAAAATATTACTTCTTAAAAAAAAAAAAGTCTTGTGGCTCAACTTGCCCCAGTGTAGGGGTAAGTTGATCCAGGTCAGGGGGTAAATTGAACCACGGTTCAAACCTGGGCATACCTGTTCAAACCTGGGCATACCTACAACAAATCTTAAAGGTAACTATAAACAATAAATAACAAACCAAATACAAGCTTAGTTTTTCAAATATTTTTAATATAAATTTCGATTGAATTGATTGATTTTTTTTTAACATGTTAAAAGTAAAAGTAATCATACAAATGGTGATACAATTTCATACATCTTACCAATCAAACACAGGGTAAATTCAACTTTAAATGTAGCCTACAATGAGCTCTTATTATCAACTTGGCCTACTTTCATTAATTTCTCCATTGAAAAACTGGCTCAACTTACCCCAAGGCCCATGGTTCACTTTACCCCACAGCCACCATTTTAGAAAAAATAGCCTAGCATTAAAATTCAGAGTCATCTTTAGCTTAATGATTCACATGGTTTAATACGCTGCCAACACATCAATATATAATATATGTGTTTAAACCCTATGGTTTAAACCTGGATACTTTTCTTTTCTGACATGACAGCCGTTATAGCTGACGATCTAGAAAATGTACTTTGACAAGTAAAAAACGTTTTTTTGTAAAAATGTTTACTTACCAGACCACAATGAGTATCTCTCTTTCACAGGCAATGAGAAATGGGTGGAGCTAGCATAATTTCTGGTCACTTGATTACAACTATAAGGTGTTGCCTGGTTACAGGGGGTTGGTTCAATTTACCCACTGGCTCAACTTACCCCCTTCTCCCCTACTAAAGTTGCCATTTTGTAAACTATGATTATGCATAAAACATTACATTATGATATAATTTACCAAGTTCCATTCGTTTTAGCATTACCAGTTGGCTTTTAAATGCAGAAGCCTTTAATAGTTTGCATAAAGCTAAATAAAACTAGTAAATCAACCAATGAAGTGTATGCCATACTGACCTCACACCAAATTAAAGTAAGTTAAATGATTCAGAAACAAATACTCTATTTTCGAAGTCCTGAAGTTCATTGGTGAAAAGTTGGGCACACGTCACAGTGACGTAGCATAAGAGGGGGATAAAAAAAAAAAGCTCTCCAACTCCAAACAGCTGAAGGAAACCAGAGAGTGAAAGCTGTCATCTGATCCTCATGAAAGAGGACTTTAAACTCACCTCAACTTCTGGCAGTACGAACACAAACAAGTGCCTCATAGAGTTTATAATACCAAGGCATCGTTAAGCGCTGCTAAAAGCTTGCAGCATCTGCTAACAGCAGCTAGGCTAGCTTAGCGAGCTAACCGGCATACCGTCTTTACGGTCAGGTAGCCGGGTTATGAGAGTTTTTTTCGCGGCGTTAATGATTGACGGAACAGATGATTGCACAGTGAACCAACACAGGCAACTGACACCTCGAGTATCCGGTAGTTACGGAAAACAACGCTTGCATCAAGCTAACGTTAACGGTTGTGTTAACAGCTAACGGGAGCTAGCAGGAACATTAGGTAGCTCCGGGGTTTCAACGGTCAAGAGATGGCCAGTAATCCCGCCGAGGGCTGCCTGGCTAACGGGGAAAACAAACCTGGCCGAGGGTCCGGTTCTGGCTGCTCGAGTCGCCACCGGACCGAGTCAGAGTGCGATGTGGCCCCGACTGTCAAAAGCTTAGCTCGGCTGTGCAGCAGGGACGAAGAGGAGCGAGCAGCGGCTCTGGAGGAGCTCAGCCAAGGGGTGCTGCTGTGTTTAGGACTGGACCAGCCCGGTTCGGCACGTCTGAGTGAACTAACACTGCTACACCTGCTTCGGTTGTCCCGGTCGTGCCCGCTGCAAGAGGTTCGGGGGAGAGCAACCGAGCTGCTGCGCACCGCACAGGTAATGTTGGGATACTAGTCTCAGTGTTTCTGCTTTATCATACTAGTTCAACAGCAGTGGCTAAACTTTTCCTACCAGATATATATCCACAGGTTGTTTATATGCTTTCGCTTCTTATCAGGAAACAACAAGATAATGTGAATGAGTGATTATTGGTCGAAGCTGATCGGTCATATCAGCTGATTACCAGTGGTGGAAGAAGTATTCAGAGTCCTGCATATACAATCTCACTTAGGTCAAAGTAAAAAAGTATCATCAATATGTACTTAAAGTATAAAAAGTAAAGTAAGCATTGTTCAGAACACGTGCCTTTGTATGTGTTATGTGACATTTCTAGATAATATTTGCATAAAGTAGCATTTACTGTTGTAGACAAACAAAGTTCTGAGTGTCTTTTTTTTTTTGAATATCTAAATAATTTGACTCTTTTTGGACTTAAAGAGTAAGTCCACCAGTTTGATTTTTAGAGATGTATTTTGTTAAAAGTAGCTCAAGTAGTTAAAATTACATTATGTCTCTTTTTTAAATGTAGTGGAGTAGAAGTATAAAGTAGCATTAACTAGAATTACTCAAGTAAAGTACCTCAAAATTGTACAGTAAATGTACCTAGTTACTTCACACCTCTGCTGATGACCACTTTTCTATGAGGTTGCTGCATATTTCATCAGACATCGAACCGTATGAGGTGATGCAACACGGGGCTGCGCACAAACAATTGTCCGGACACGCCCCCTCTCGGCGCCCTGAAACCTGCCTGAAACACACCGGACACATCCCCCGATCCCTTTCACAGCCCATTGGAGGTTCTAGAAATATACAAACAAGTCACACTGCGACTGACGCACTTACAGTTTATGTGTCTTCTTTGTTGGAAATACTAAGCGGTGACTTTCTGGTGTGGTTCTTCCGATCATGTCGGTGAGTTACAGTACGTCAGTCTATTAATGAGCAAAGGGGTTGCAGCTGCATGCAGGTATCCCCATTTTCTTATTCTTTTAATACTATGTGTGATATCTGCATTATTGATGTATTCTGAATCCTAGAGAGAAAAACTATCCAACCCTTCAGTTTGCTCCACCTTGTACATTTGTTTTTGATGTGAGGTCATGTACACGAATGTACAGCAAATGACATGTATCCGTACCTCTGTACACCATTTCAGCCGTTGTAAAGAATATCGTTTTACAAAAGGTAGAATTGTATTAAGTACAGTACTTCGTGAATGTACTTTAGTTACTTAACATCACTGCAAACAGTCCTTAGTTCCAGCTCCTCAGTTGTGAGGTTTCGCTGGTTTTCTTTGACTCAATATATTAATGTTTTGGACTGTTGATCAGACAATAACAATTTGAGGACATTTGTATGGGCTGCAGTAGATCAAAGCATAAATCTATTATGTCATTTTCAGATTAATCAGAATCAAAATGTATTTTCATGTCACTGTTTAATGAACTTGATGCTCCTTTCTAGGAACAAGGTGTTGAAGTTCCCCGGGCTCTGGCATCGGGCCCAAGCGCCTTCATTCCTGCGAAAGAGGTGTGTTAGACTTTTTTAAAAGTACATTTATTTGCTTCATCCAAAAGAAAAGAAATTGTTTTTGAGATTCATCTTTGTAAAGAGTTATGTTATTGTTATGGGTTCTTGTTTTTATTCCTACAGGAGTAGATCCCATGAAGCATGGGGCAGTGTGAAGATAAAGCTTTATTAATCCCCGTTGTAAAATCCAGGTGTCATAACGAAACAGCAATGAGATCGAAACAAAGTAGCCTATACACAGCAGAGTGTTGATCACAATTTTTGTTTTCCTTTTAGCCATATAATGTTGTTTGATCAAACTAATTGTAAAAGAGATGTAGTTTAACAATTTGCTAATATTAGAAGTTTAGCTCAATATTCTGCTGCAATACTGCACTGCCTGTTGCTTCATGTCATCAAGAGAAGCAACAACAGAGATATATTGCAAATGCTGATGACTACAATTTCTAATTTCATATGTGACTCACTCCAAGTGTTCCACTGGAGGAAATGGGAGTGTTATATCTGCCAATTTTCTAACTAAACAAGTAGCATTTTAGAGCAAATCCTTAGCAATAGGTTGTCACGCATCAAAACAATATTATGTATATTTAATTGTAAACATATATTTTGCTTGCCCTTCCTCTTCAGATTTTGAAAGAAGGTCCAGACCAGGACATCCTCATCGAATCGTTCCTTTCAATGGGTCGCGTGGACCACATCACCATGGTGATGGCGCTGCACCCTGCATACCTGAGCTGCTTTTTGAGGACCCAGCATGCCTTGTTGGAGATGGATGGTCCCTTGCCCCGTCACTGGAGACATTACATTGTTGTTATGGTAAGAAAACCTCAATATATGATTATGAACTAGTGACACATGTCGGGGCTCTCAGCAGACCCCCTCCCCATGTGCACTCATGAATGTAAAAGGGTTTCTATATCTTACACAGACATTTAAAAAAACATTTCAAATCAAAGGTTGCATTGACTTAATATTTTTCGTCATCGACTTAATTTTTTAACAAAGTCAGAAAAATCTGAAGGGCGTCTGCCGTCTGTGAGTTTGACAGATAAGAACAATGAGTGGGTATATCTTAACTTACAGCACATTGTAAAGCTATGGACAGGAGGCTGTGGAGCATGTCTCCTCTCCTCTCTGGGAGGTAACGTCCTCCCTCCCTCTTATTAGACCCCTAACTCTGATGTCACTGTAGGGGAAAAAAGTATTCGTCTGCTTCATGTGGTTTTGAAATCTATTAAACATGAATGGTAAAAATAGAACATGACATCATTTTGATGAACCTCACAAATCAGCCCCTTCTTCAACTGAACACCGGCAACATGTTGTTGACTATTTTGCAATCGGCTGAATAAAATATGAGTCAGCAGTTCTTCAAAGACATGTAAGGACAATGTCTTTTTTATTCAGCTTGAGTTGCTCTAATTTTTTGTTTAAGTCAAGAGATCCCCTTGACAACCAATAAACATGTCAAACATACACCACCGCACAGTATAATACAAAGTAATACATTTGTTAATAATTAAATGGAGTTATCCATAAAAGACAGCTTTTAATAAAGGCACAATTGTTTGTTCTTTAGTCTGAATTTCAAACTCTTATCGAAAATACGTAGGTTGACAAAATCTCTGATATTTTCAGAGGTTTAGTTTTTCAGTGCATGTATTTAGGGAATTAGCAATAGCATAGCATCTAGTAGTGCTTCTAATGACTCTAAATGGTTAGCTTTAGCTTTTAATTAATTTGAACAAAGCTGGTTGAGTCAACAAAATGAAACAAAATAAGAACCTCCTGTAACAGCATGCAGCTATTCTATATTGATCGTTGAATTGCCCTGCAAAAAATAGATAGCCTTTTTGATATTTTTACATGTACTCTTATAATTCACATCATAGACATATAAAGACATTTTAAATATTATTTAAATTGTTCCTTCAAAGTGAACCATTTAACTTGATGTGAATTACTTTAGTTTAGATAGTGTAAAATAATGCAAATAAATCATTATACTAGTGCCCATTCGACTTGTCCTTTCAACAGACATTGTTGTTGCTTTGATTTACCTTCATTGTGTGAGGAGGTAATGCTGCAAGAGGTGATACTGCAGGTTAAATCATAAAGAAGTGTTTACTTTTTATTTTATAAGCTGTAAAGCCCAAACATAATGGGTCTGTGGAAGGCCACTGCAGGTACAGTGAGCCTATCCCTTTACATTTTTCAGCCTATTAGTAAAGCGATATCTAGCCTGAACATTAAAAGTGACGGCAGACTCTGGCGCTATGTTTTTCTGTTTGTGGACAAGTCAAGTGTGCCAAATGTGTTTTTTAAGATTTATTTCTTTTTGAACACAATTTGGCTTCATGGCGATGCATTATTCCTGCCTCCACGTTGTAGGACAAAATCAATGCTGCAGTTACAGGTATAATAACATGCTGCAAGGCTGTTCCAACTTCTTTTACATTCCCAGTCAGTTCAGCTGAAGTGAGCCATTATTACATGCATTCATACCTAACATGGGCTTACTGAAGTAATATCACTTCTGCTTTTTCAAACTCAATCTCTCACAGCTCCATAACATAGGAAACAGCTGCAGTTTATTATTAATGGCGTCAAGTTAAATCTATTAGTAGGCACTAACGGTTATGATTATTGTCAGCTCCTTATGCTTGATGAACCTTAATCATGTTCATCTTATTTGCTGGAGCTGTGAAAACAGTCACAACTTGAGCTAGATATTTATATGTATACCTTTTGATGTGTGTCACCGGTTATTGCCTCATCTTTATTTCCGTTTCCGTTAAATACTACTTTAAAAAACGAATTGAGACAATCCTTTAAATATCAAGTGATCTAAAGATTGTACTCTGAAGAAATAAAAACGTTGTAATTATTTGGGCAAATTCAGAAAATATGATGACAATACATTAAAGGCATGTCAAATGTACTGGTAGGCATTATTTTCTTCTGAAACAGACTATTCAAAGGATTACAAATCTATACAGATTTTTCTGTAGATATTCACAATCAATAGTTGTAGGGACATTTAAGGATGCTAAAGGAGAGGTTAAGTGAAATATTACACAAAAATACAGTTTTTGAAAGCAATGAAAATGTCAGGACAGTTAGGTTGGCATAAGCTACAAAAAACAATTATCTTTACTTAGGAGAACTCTATAAAGATGATAAATAGACTTGACAGGATGTTCTTTGCCTGAGGGTTATCCAGCTGCTGTATCAGAGACACTAAAAAGGTCTGCCAAAGACTGCGATATTCATAAACATTTAATGACTCTTTATATAATCATCACAGTGGCTGTCCTTACAGAAATGCTGGTCATTAGACTGAAAATAATCTTTGGTGGAGTAATTTAGTTGAGGTGCTTTAACCTCTGAGCCCTTTATATATTAATGCGCATTGGCAGTTCTGATGCATTATGGAGTCATTCTACCAGACCAGTAATAGAGCGTGGTTGTTAATGGACGCTGCTCGTGTTTGACTTCCTCAGGCCGCGGCGCGACACCACTGCTCGTACGCCGTGCAGCAGCACAGCGCCGGCTTCCTGGAGGCTGGGGGGGAGGAGAGCTGGCTGAGCGGACTCCAACACGCGCCCACAAAGCTCCGCAGCCTGAAGACACTCAACAAGCTGCTGGCACACAGACCCTGGCTCATCACACAGAAGCATGTACAGGTCAGACACCACACACACTGACCACATGTATGTTATGTTAATCTGTGATGCCCATTAATAAATACAACCTATGTAATGTATTGTAGGATTTTGTTTTTGTGATATTGCTTTAATATACAGGTGTTCATAATTGTATCCTCTTTTTGTTGTGTGGTCATAACTTAACAACAGTTAGAGTCTACACTACAGCCATGCTAGCTGCTTTATGAGACTGACTCTACGTACACAGTGGTGCTAATGTAAGCATTTAGTCTGTTAGCTAGAGCTGTAATGAAGAGTTCAAACCTGCATTCATAACGTTAACTTCAGAATTTATAATTAACATTCAAATGCTGGGCAACTTTTCATTTGCATGTTTATTGTTATTTTATATTCAAACTCACAGTTTCAGATAAAGTTTAGGTTACACAAATATTTTACTGTTAAGGATTGTTAACAACTTGTGTGCTCCACAAATGCTACTATGAAGGTTTAACTCCAGAGCTAAAGTCCAACATTCTAAATGTATTGAAAAAGCTCGATGTAGTAATTTCCAAAATTCTTAGCAGGTTTTTTTTATATAACAATATATTTTCCTTATGATTAGAAAAATCTGCACACACGTATTTATGGAACGACATGCTTGTAAAGTAATTGATAATCACAATCATTACAACTCATCCTGAGGGCAACACGAGTGCCTTTCCCTCCCAACAACACTACTGTATGAAACATCACTTACCCCCCCCCCCCCCCCTCCTCTGCCCTGCAGGAGCTGGTGTGTCCCGGAGCAGATCCTCGCTGGTCATTGGCAGAACTCATACACGCCGTGGTGCTCATGGCTCACGCTCACTCCCTCTGCTCCTTCGTGTGGGGCTGCGGCTTAAACCCTGAGCCCGACCACATCGGAGGTTATACCTTCCAGCTCCCCTCACCCATTCACCCTGCTCACAGCCCACAGTGCCCCGCTCATGAGGACGGCAGGCAAGAGGTTAGTCATTTTTTCACCAGATGTGCATCTATGTATTCCAGCGGTGTTTCCCAAGTCACACCGGTTCGGTAAAAGTGAAACAAAGGTTGTCTGTAAGAAGCAAAGTCCCAAGTAAATTCCTGAAGCCCTACTCTCTAATTTTCTCCTCCAGATTGTTGACGGAGCGATGGAGGTGGAGGTGTTGATGCAGAGGATGGTGGAGCTGCAGCTGCAGGAGGAGGAGTGCACACAGGAGGAGATGGTGACTCGCTTTGAGAGGGAGAGGAGCGAGAGCATACCGACCGGTACAAACACTCTTTTATTCCACCCATTACTTCGTCAATTGATTGATTTGAATTGGTTTACTCACTACTTCCTCTTTAACGTGTTTGTTTTAGCGGTGGTGCGAGGAGCGCCACCGGACCTGGTGCTGCGTCTGGTGGAAGATCAAGAGTTTAGATACGAGGACTTTGCCCCCAGGGGAGAACAGTCACCAAACACCATGAGAGCCCAGGTAGCTTTCTGCAAGTTCAAGTTGTTTATATTTATTTAACCTTACTTTTCACAGTGCATTTCATTTGTTTGTGCCAACCTCCATACACATGTGTTGGTTGATGTTGGTGTCTGATGTGTGCAGGATTATTCATGGGAGGACCACGGCTTCTCTCTCGTCAACAGACTACTGCCAGACATGGGTCAGCTCCTGGATGAAAAATTCCAGGTACAACCAACTTTAACCTTTTAGAAGCAAACTAAGAAACACTCATAAACTGATTTAAAAAAAAAAAAAAAAAAGCTGAACTAGTGATGGCTTACCTAACAGGTCTTTCTGCTCCAGGAAGTTTAAAGGGGACGCAAAATGCAGTTTTTTATGTCTTTTATACATAAATATGTGTCCCCGGTGTCAGGGAACTCACGCAGCATCATAAAATAAAACCTTCTCTCTTTTCCTCCGTACCCAAATCTCTAAAAACGGGGCTACAACGGAGCTGATCCAGATTTGCGTCCGATATGACGTAATATCGGAAATGTGGAACCACGGCTCTATCAGAAAGTTGCTGACTGTTTTGGACGTAATATGGTCGGTGTTTACATTAGCATCGCTAACACTCAGAGCTAACCTGTACTGGAGAGCATGTGTGTGAAGAAGCAGGAAATAAAAAGTGACTCACCTTGTGGTATAACCGGCAAGAGAGAAAGCCTTTGAGCTCCATACTGTTTCAGAAAGAATCCTTGATAATCCATGATATGGCGTTTCATCACGGCAGTATTTAGTTTAGACAGTAGCTGCCGGGTCCCGCATGAGGTCAGACCCCTCCTTCTTTATTTTGTATCTTTTTTTTTTTTTTTTTTAAAGCTTTGTACATAAAATCAGCACTTTTGAAACAGGAAGTGAAATAGAGGGATATGAGGCATGGCTAGAATGGGAGATCTGTTTGGTATTTTGAGCAAAACAATTCATAGACATGTTTTTTTATATTTTTATATATCTGAGACCTATGCTATTGCCTAAAAATTTCATGATAGGTGACCTTTAAGTATATTTGTGGAAACAAAAATATACCACTGAATACCAACAGATGGAACTGAGGCAACAGAAAGGTCACTTAGAATGACGGCAGCGCTATAACTGTCCAAGTCTTTAAACTCTGCCACAGCCCATACTGTGTTCCTGTGAGTGTTTACTTCCTGTCTGTCTTCTTCTGCTGATTTCTCTGATGTCCAGCGCTCTGTCTTCAAACCTCTTTCTTTATCATACGCTGTTTTTCTTTTCTATACTGCGGACACTTTAGCCATCATGAATCCAAAGTTTTGTGTTCTCCTGAAATATAAAAAACAAAATTCAGAAAGTATTATATAGTGTTTTCTAATGGATGAAAGTAATGTTTGTTGTCCACAGCCGATGTTAATTTGACCGTACAACTTTCTGCATGTTGATATGGAATATGAATGTGCAGACAATCCCTACATAGTCCCTTAATCCTCCTTAGCAACATGCTGTTCTCCTTAGCAACAGTCTGTTAAAAGGACCAATGTCCAAATTGGCTAATCAGAATCAGAGTATTCAACTAAGCCTTTTTAATATGATTAAAATGGTGTTTTAAATGTGAAAATGTGGGTTCTTAGCTGCTATGGTTGGTAAAAAGACCCTAACATTTAAGTGGCAGCTTTTGACATGAAATGTGTTATATAAAATATATATTTGTAATTATGTAGGCCTACACAGGTGCATCAGCGAAAAGTACAATCTGAAAAATCTCCCGCTCAATATCCACTGTTCAAATGATGAAGGTTGGACGGAACAAACCTTGTGGTACTAAATATTTTTGCAGAAAAAAGGACGGTGTGGAGGAGTTTTTCAAAATGGTTTTGAGCAAAGAAAGAGACCATTACTGACAGTAACCCTGGATATTCGTCACAGATTATTAATTCAAAGAAATATCTGCACTCCCACACTCTTAATTGAAATCTGGTTCATCTAAAGGTGATTATAAATGAGGAAATGTAATCAGTGGTTCATCCTTTGAAAACCTTTTATTTGATATTTAGAGCCGCTTCATACAGAAGGACAGTGCATTGAAATGAAAAAATACAAGTTCTTTTTAACTCAAATCTGAGGAAAGTATTGGAGAAAAAAAAGAAAAAAATTGTTTCTCTGAATCAAAAGGAGAGTTATTTAATGTATATATAATAATGCTTCTTCTACTTATATGAACATAACAGAAATATATAGATGAAAACATCGGGGCAGAATCGCGAATGTAGACTTTTGTAATTACCAAATTATGACATTCAAGCTCTATATTATTCTTTAATATTAACAGTTAGTTACAAATACATTGGGATACGCCATACATCATTCTTTTCAAGGACATTTTTCTGAATATCATCTGCTGTGTGAGAGGAGAAGGGCTTTGAAGGCCTCAACAAACACGGAAACAATAACACAACACCAATCTAGGAAAGCAGCCAGAATCAAAGAGCCGTTCTTTATCTACTTCCTGTTCATCTTCTTTCCAGACGCAGGTTATCTCAGCAGGGCGGCTGCTGTTTCAAGGCAGACAGCTCATCAAGATGAGTGAAGCATTGGGGCAGGAACTTGTCTACTCATAGATGTAGGGGGGGCGGAGTAAAAGCTCACTTCATGTCTTAAAGAAAGGGTCTATGAGGATAGTATCAGACACTGTAATGTAATCAGAACATGAACTATTTGCACTGCTTTTAAAGAGGATATATTGTGCTTTTGGAGAATTTCCCTTTCCTGTAGTGTGTGAATATGTTTTTTCAGAATCAGAAATCCTTTACTAGTCCCACAGCGGGGACATTTACACAATGCAAACGGTCTGCAAAAGCTTAAATCCCAAAGATCCATCTCTCCCACACACTCCCCTGCCTGAAACACCTCCATTGCACTCCTTTGTTTAAAGGCCGCTACACACCAACCTGAGACCAAAGAACGCGTACCGAAGGCGTCCCGACTTTTACGTACGCAACGTCGCCTGCGTAGGCTAAGCCACCCACCTACGAACCCACTGCAAAGACTTCAGTCGACGAGTGGCAATAACTGTCCTTACCAGCAGGCAGCGGTAGTGTGTATTCGTCATTCAAAAGAGGCAACAGCCAATCAGAGTGATTTCTTTGGCCGATTGAACATGTTGAATCTGCCGCGGGAGGTGTGAAAATGTGCCGTAAAGCAACGACGGTGCGGGACACACCAACCTCAGTAGGGCGCCGCGAATGCCCAACTGCCTCTGACGGCCTCTGACTCCCAAAATCGGGTAGGTGTGTCCGGGCCTTTATTTCTGTAACATAGTGACATCATGACCTAACACTTGCACTTCTATTGGCTATCGCTCCAACACCTTGTATGTGATAGGCTAAGGGGCGGGACATCTATAAGTGGTTGACCAATCACAACAGTGCCAGCCAGCTAACCAATCAGAGCAGACTGGGCTCTGGTTTCAGACAGAGGGTGAAAAGAGGCACAGGCAGTATGAGAGAAATAAAGAGCTTTTTGAGCATTAGATTATGTAAACATGTCACATTAGAGGCACTGAATACTGATATGAACCTGAGCATGAACATGACGGCCCTGATGCATTTACTGTATATGGTCTTGCAGTCATTTTTTGCAATATTGCAGTAATACTACATATTATAATAATAATAATAATAGATTTATTTTGTTAGCGCTTTTACAGGTGCTCAAAGACGCTTTACAGATATAGTGAAAAGAAAACAACAACAAAGTTAAAGTCAAATAATACAAAATGTATTTATTTAAATTATGTACTTTCATCATGTATAATAAATAGGGCCGGGACTTTAACGCGTTAATTAAGATTAATTAATTACACAAAAATTAACGCGTTAAAAAAATTTACGCATTTTAATCGCACTTATTTTTGCACCGCGGAACGTTTCTCACTGGATGAGTTTCAGGGGTACCGATTATACTGGAGCACCAACTAACGTTCATGACTTCAAACAACAACAAACCACAGTGAACAATAGTCAAACGTGAATGAACAAGCTGATGAGACCGCTTTGGTTGGCCCCGTGGATGGGACATTTTGTTTTAAAAAACGGACGGATGGAAGCATCGATAAGAGCACGGTTGTTTGCAAATTATGCAAAAAGGAATTTGCGTATCACCGCAGCACATCAAGCCTCAAGTATCACCTCAATGCAAAAC